ATATATATATATATATATATATATATATATATATATATATATACAGAGAGAGAGAGAGAGAGAGAGAGAGAGAGAGAGAAAGAAAGAAACAAAGAAAGATAGCTATCCACATATATCAACAGAAGAACAATACTGAATGAAGTATCTTCCCTTTGAGTATTTATTATTTAGTATTTATTAGGGTTTATTAGGGTTTATTAGGGTTTAGGGTTTATGAGGGTTTAGGGTTTACAATACCCTCTTTAGCTGAGCTGAGTGTCCATGCCCCCAACCCCCCAATCTCTCTCCAACTATTTTTTAGTTCTAAAGTAAACGGCAAATCCACATCACAAAAAAATAAAGGGTACTGCAGCATCAATACAGATACTGGTAAACCCTCACGATCCCATCTCCTTCTTCTGCTCCTGCTGCTGCTGCTGCTGCTGCTGCTGCTGCTGCTGCTGCTGCTGCTGCTGCTGCTGCTGCGGGTGCTGGCGGTGGTGGTGCTGGTGGTGCTGGTGGTGGTGGTGGTGCTGGTGGTGGTGGTGGTTGTGGGTTTGTTGCGCTGCAGGGCACCGCTGTGTCTCTGGGGGCCCCCAGGGGGGCCCCCATGGGGGGCCCCCACGGGTTGGGTATTTATAGAGCTGCTGCTGCAGGTACACTTGAACATAGGCAGGGGCCCCTCTATGTCTAGGGAGGCCCCCGGGGGGGCCCCCTGGGGGGCCCCCAGGGGGGGGGGCCCCCAAGGGGGGCCCCCGGGGCCCTCATCGTCTGAGCTAACGATTGGGTCTCCCCACTCTGTGGAGAACATGAAAAAGAGAGAATACAGCAGAAAGAAAAAGTTAGCTGCCTATACACCCCAGGGTGTATGTGTGTTTAATAACACACGGAGCTGCGTGCATGCGTAGCAACAGCAGCAGCAGAGCAGCAGCAGGAGCTGCTGCTGCTGTCGCTGCTGCTGCTGCTCCTGCTGCTGCTGCTGTCGCTGCTGCTGCTGCTCCTGCTGCTGCTGCTGCTGGTGTTTTTGCTGTTGCTGCTGCTGCTGCTGCTGCTGCTGCTCTAGGGTGTATATGCAGACACCGTGGTGGGTGGAAACAAAGCTAAACAAATAAACCAAAAACCCAACAAATAAAATAAAAATAATTTATTTATTTAATTATAAATTATAATAAATCATATAATAAACAAAACAACAACAAAACACACACAAAACCACCTTCTCTCTATACCATTGATAGGGGGGGGCCCCCAGGGGGCCCCCCGGGGGCCCCAGCAGCAAGAAGCAGCCAGGGGGCCCCCCGGGGCCCCCCCTGCTGCTTTTGTTTTTTTTTTGTTGCAGGAGATGAAAAAGAAGCAGCAGAATATAAAAAGAAAGATATTATAGATTTAGTTTTTATTTTTTTTATTTTTTTTTATGTTTGTTTGTCTCCTTTTCTCTTTGTTTGTTGTTTTTTGTTTTTGTTTTCCTTTCTGTATTTAATTAAATATAAATAAAATATTTATTTTTTGTTTGTAAAGATAAAACAGAAAAAAAGAAAAAAAAAGAGAGAGAAAGAGGGGGGCCCCCAGGGTTTAGTTTTCTTCTCTTGGGGGCCCCCTTCTCTCGTC